AAAAAAAAAAAAAGAAATGCTGGCACCATGATACAGTCAGCCACGAGAGAAGCGCTTGCTACTGTACCTGCTCCAAAGTCTGACTCGGGAGGTGGGCCTCCGTCATGACCAAGCCATACCGCTGAGTCGCGAGGTTTCGCATTTCACTGTACGTGGCCCAGTCATGAAGGGCTACTGTCGTTAGATTGTAGAAAGTCTTGTCCAGGTAGTGAGTTACATAAGCTACACAGCATGGGGGGGGAGGCAAAAGATTTTGACTCACAAAAGGGTAGAAAAGACATAGAAATGGAACCATAATAAATTCGCCATTTTACATCAAGGGCACACAAAGAATGGAAGGAAGCAAAATGCTCACCTCGAATGTCAATGAAACGGTTGAAAAACCGAATTGGCTTCAGAGAGAAGAAGAGGGCCAGGTCTTTTATGCCGACTCTGAACGGGTTCCGGTCATCCAGTTTCAGGTGCGTGTGCACAGAAAGGCGAAGGTCCTTCTCGATTTCTTTGCACAACTTGTCCAGCAAATGCTATTCATCACAAAGAACAGACACCATAGCCTTAACATTTCAAGATGACACTCCAATTGAATTGCCTCACTAAGTGTCGAGGCTTTGACCTTTACAGTTTTACAATTAGCTCATTCCTAATAGAAAACTTCCACATTAAAGGTAGTCAGGTATAATTCAAAAGACCCATAAGGACTTGGTGTCAGACTTTCTAAATAGTATAATGGAAAAATTGACAGCCTGGCTTTTTATCATTGTTGTTCTATCTTCCATGGTAAAATCTTTTATGGGGAAAGACAAAACTGCTTGCTTTCCATTTTCGACCAATGAATTTTTTAAAAAATCATGGCAATTTAATAAATTCTAAGCCACTGTTTTCATTGGTGCTTTAAATTTATATCCTTAAAAAGAAAATCAAAAGGTAGTTACTGACAACTTCATTAATAAAACCATGAATACACTATGAGTCCTGAAAGTACAAAAAGCATAAATCTTCAGGGAACAACTAGAAATGAGAGGAGGACCTGAAATAGGCTAGCGGAGGAAAGGATGCTGGAAACTCTTCTTTTAATAATCATTAAAAATTCCCAAATCTGTTCGGCTAAAGGTAACAAAACAAATCCTCTTTTCTGATCTACCATGGAGTTCTAAATACTGGCCAGGCATGTATAATCTTTTATAAGAAAATATTCAATATAAACAATTATGTAAAGCATTTCACAATTTAGCAAATCCTACGTAGATTTATAATGTGAGGGGTTTTCATACTTAATTTTTCCCTCCAAATAAAAGTGTCACTAGATAGCAGCTTAATTTCAAAGATCTCAGAGCTTATAAGACACACTTCATTAAAACAGAGGGGCACACTATACTGCATTCAAAATCACTTTTCTTTCATAAGGAACTAATCTCATCCTTTAGTTGGTAGCTCTCCAAATGCAATGATGCCTGTTAAGGTGCCCTTTTACATTGCCATCAGAGGCACTAGCATTCAAATACACTTTGCATTTGCAGTCATCTAATTAAATTGTCTGATAAAAATAACTTTAAATTCAATATATTATTCACTAAAGTAAACAGGGATTTTCAAACTCCCAGTCTGTGCTTCCACAGTTTAAGAGTTATAGGCAAATTTGGCCTAACAGTGCCACTAAAATTCATTCCTTTGTTCCTCATAGGGATTTATATATAAATAACGCTGCTGTTGTGAGTTGACAAGGAGTGGATCATGGTGACCCCACGTGTTAAAAAATTATAATAACCATAATTTTAAGTTATAGTCATTTAGATTTCATAACAGGTTAATTTGGTTCAAAAATGTTTCCAAACAGTGCATTCCACAAACATGGTTTAAGTTTTTCAACCTCAAACATGCAGTTACCTCATTTAAAATCTCCATAATTTCCTTGTCGTAGCAATCCAGAAGTCTCTGATAGGACTCTAAATGCCTGGCGTGCATCATGGCAGGGACACAGTCACGTAAAGCACTGAACATGTACTAAGGAGAGAAAAGTTAGAGGTACACGGACTAGGACATGTCACAAGTTAACTATCTGTCCTAAAGACAGCAGCTCAGTCTGAAGGCAAGTAAGCTTTCCACGTGATTATTTTACTTCGCTAAATAAAACAATGGAATTTTATTCACTCAGTTACATAAGCACTTTAAATACATACTTACTACATTCACTTATCCTTACCTATCGTGAGCATTCAAACACATCCTTAGTTTTAACACTGTGGAAGAAAGATGAAGTGTTTCACTCCTACAAAGACTTACAGCCTTGCAAACCCACAGGCACGGTTCTCTCCCGTCTGACGGGGTCACTATGAGTTGGAATCAACTCTATGGCAGTGAGTTTGGTTTGGTCTTGACTATTAACTATAAAACATATGAATGCTTACTTGGCAGGCACAGAACTGTACGAAACAGAATGAGCAGGCAATTTTTAAATGGCTTATTAACTCAAATAATCTATTTGAAACAGAATAGTCTACACTAGGAAATGGTGGCCTGATTCTTTGCACTACTCTTTACTTACATGTAATCTGGCGGCATCCACAGCATTTTCATACACATCATCTAAATAAATTGGGAAGACAGCTCGATGCCAGTATAAAAAACAGCAGTCACACTGGGTTTGGATTCTACAATACAAGCAGTAATTGTGCCAGTAAATTGAAATGTCACAAAGATTTAGGTAAGCAATGAAGGTACCCACTAGGCACAACCCCGATTTGCTCATTTCCATATTTCCTACATCACTTAACCCAAAACATAGTAAAACCATAAAATCACGACTTTTCGTACACAAGAAACCAAGGCAACAACTTTCTAATACCCACATCGTCAAAATTCCATGAATATGCTTTATTATATAAGATACTTGAAAAGAATACAGCTATCTTTAAAATAAACAATGAATTGTTGAAGGTAAAACTGTGATGTGCTCTGTAAACCTTCACTTAATTGACAGAACCAAGTTTTGTTTTTGAATCATTTTACTGGGGGCTCGTACAACGCTTCTCACAATCCATACCTCCATCCATTGTGTCCAGCACATTTGCTGCCATCATTCTCAAAATATTTGCTTTCTACTTTCTAGTTCTGAAATGCTCCCCCCGCCCCCCCACTATCATGATCCCAATTCCACCTACAAACCCGACTAGACCAGAGGATGTACACTGGTACAGATAGCAAATGGAAACACAGGGACTCCAGGACAGATAAACCCCTCAGGACCAGTGGTGTGAGTGGCGATACTGGGAGGGTGAAGCGAGGGTGGGTTGGAAAGGGGGAACCGATTACAAGGATCTACATATAACCTCCTCCCTGGGGGATGGACAATAGAAGAGTGGGTGAAGGGAGATTTCGAGCAGTGTAAGATATGACAAAATAGTAATAATTTATAAATTATCAAGGGTTCATGAGTGAGATGGGAACGGGGAGGGAAGGGAAAAATGAGGAGCAGAACAAAGTTTTTAATGAGACTTAGTAAAAAGGTTTCAGTTAAAAAAATTGTAGATGTGGCCAAAGGAAAAAAAGGTACATTTAGAACACTTAATCATCTTTGGCAAGTGACTCTTTCACATCTACAGCAACAACATAAACGGAAAAACACTAAACATAATAAGCATAAATAGAGGGTTTGGGGATGGAAAGTTAAAACATTATAATGAGGAGCATTACATGAAAATAGTATTACAATCTTAATTCAGTTGGAAATCAAAATTAAGAAGAAATGCTTTCAAAAACTTATTCAATAAACAGAATGGAGCCAAAAGCAGCTATAAAAATGAGTCTTGCTATATATTCAACTTAGTGACTGGCTCCCGACAGTAAGATTCCAACTCACGTCACAGAATAAAATGACAGAAGCCTGTGTGACAGCTCTCTGAAGTCACTCACAGAAAGATGGCATTTTGTGCTGAAGCAATACTTTCCTAGGTCCAGGGCAGCCCCTCGTCACAACCACCACTACGCGTTGTGCGGCCACAGCGGCTCTGTCTCGAGGGAATCCTTCCAAAAGCTACACCCTCATGTGCAGCCACAGCTAGGGACGTGGGATTCTGAGAGTGCTTCATGTGGGTCCTGCCAAAGGAGTTCCAGGGGAGCCCTGGGGTGCGGTGCTGTAAGCTGGGCTGCAGTCTGCAAGGGCAGCAACTTGCAACCACCCACTCCATGGGAACATGTGGGGCTTTCCATTCCCAGAAGCAATTCCGGTCTCTGAAACTCACAGGGGCAGTTCTAGCCTGTCTCTCAGGCTCGCTCTGAGTCGGGGTTGCTTTCAGGTTTTAGAGGAGTTACACGGAGACACTAAGAGCCATCTCTGGAGTTCACTTCTCGGCGTCACTCACAGCCCTAGGCTTCTATTCGGTCTCTCGACTACGGAGCCCCGTGTCTAGTCTTTCTCACCTTTCTCTCAGTTCACTGATGAGAGCCAGTTTTTTCATGACGACTTGAAGTGGAAAGAGTTCCTCGTCCTTAAATGTTTTCTATCAGGGAGGGGAAAGAGGCACAGAGGTGGGATTCACAGTACAGACAGTGTTTTTCAGTAAATACTCAGAAAATATAGACGGTCACAGAAAAACACTTACCATCTGTGTGCCCACACTCAGGGCCAGAGCCACGATCAGCCGGCGCTGTCTCGTGCTTGGTCCATTGAGAGTGTTTTCAGCCAGCACGAGAGCAGACAGGACATCAAGGCGCTGTTCGCTGTATTTTTTGTCAGAAATCACCCTTTTCTTAGTGATAAAAGAAAATGGGCAATCATTAATCCTGTTTCTGCAGCAATAACAAAACACTGAGAAGAAAAACGTCTAGGATTATTTTTCCCGCCATTCAGTTTAGGAACGTGTACTTTCCATGTTGAACCCCGCCTAATGGCACTGTACATGCTACTCCCGTCGCATGATTTCTTGGCATTGTCAGAAACAGTCAATCTATTAGGCATACTTTAATAGTTCCACATTAACTTAATAAGTAAACGCATCTGATGCATCCAATGTCAAAACTGAATACATAATCACTTTAAATAAAGTATAATATATATAGTATAGTAATAATTACTATTAGTATAGTAATTACAAGATGTTGTAACTTCAGAGAAAGACAACCCTGATAACTTTAGGCTAAAATCATAGACGACCATGAACAATTAAAATTGAAAAAAAAAAACCACCAAGAGTATTGTGTGTGAAAGAATGGAGAAAGCTGACTAAAAAAGAATAAATCAAAAGAGCATATAATGGTGCTGAACATCTAACAGTCACATACCTTGGCCACAGAAATGGAATGAAGAGCCTGATGTTGCAGATGCTGTGTTATATGTGAAACAGAATCCGCCACAACCATGCTTCTTCGGTAGAACATATGCTCTATTGCCTAAAGAGAACCCGGGGAAATTCTAGTCATACTGTCTGTTTTGAAAACACCTCACACTTACTTTTGTTACTTAAGTTGTTGTCATTTCCTTGTACAACTACACAAAGGCACAGAACCAAGGATGGTCACGATATTTGAAAGGTAAAATAAGCCCTGGCACTTCCACAGGATGGGTAATGGGACATGGGTGAAGCTCAAAATCATTATGACAAGTGAGCAAAGAAATCAATTTAAAGTATTCTCAAAAATACAACTGATCTATAGAAAAAAAGGACAGATCACTGGTTGTGTGGGCCAAGGGCAGAAACAGAGGAAGGGACTATTGGGCCCACAAGAAAAGGTTTTTGCTCGTAGAGGTAGGTTTTCCACAAGTGGCTAGATTTGTCAAACACATCAATTGCATACTTTAAGCTAAAGCAGCTCACTGTATGGAAATAACTCAATAAAGGGACACACAGGGAACACTGAAAACACGGTTCTGTGTCTTAGGTAGTCTGGTGCATGTTTTACTACTCTTAAAAACTACAACTACACTCTCATTTTACATTATGCGTACAGTGATACGTGTGTGTGCTGTCTTTCCTGTCTACTTCTGTTTTTCTTTGTCAAGGGGCCCTGGTGGCACAATGGTGAAGCACTCAGCTGCTCACAGATAAGCTGGCACACGAACTCATCAAGGGATGGCCCCAAGGCAGGGCGCCCTGGTGATCTACTCCATAAAGCTTACCGCGAAGAAAACCCTCTGGGCAGCTCTACTTGGTCACATGGGGTCACAATGAGCTGGAATTCTCAACATGCATTTCCTAAAAATACACATAACTGAAAAGAATCTATAGTAGGGTGAAAGGAGACACCTGACAGTGTAAAATATGAAAATGAAAATAATTCATAAATTATCCAGTGTTCACAAAGGTGGGAGGGTGGAGGTAGAGGAGGGAAAAAAGAGGAGCTGATATAAAGGGCTCAAGCAGAAAGAAAATGTTTTGGAAGTGATGACAGCGACATATGTACAAAGTGCTAGACACAATGGTACGTATGGATTGTGATAAGAGCTGTAAAAGCCCCCAGTGAAATGATATATTAACAAAATAATAAATCTATAATAGAAAAAATGTGACATTTAAAAGCACACTTAAAAAAATCATTTTATTGTGGGCTCTTACAGGTCTTAGCACAATCCATATGTACCATTGTGTCCCTCACATTTGTACATATGGTGCCATCATTTTAAAAACATTTTACTTCTACTTGAGCCCTTGGTATCTGCTCATTCCCCCCCTCCCCTCCCTCATGAGCCCTTAATAAATTATAAATTACTTTTTCCCTTTTCATGTCTTACACCGACCGCTGCCTCCCTTCACCCACTTTTCTATTCTTCGACCCCCTGGTGTGGGGGGAGCGGGGTTATATGTTGATCATTATGATCCATTCCCTCCATACCCTCCTGGTATTGCTACTTTCACCATTGGTCCTGAGGGGTTTATCTGTCGAGGGTTCCCTGTGTTTCCAGCTCTTATCTGTACAAGTGCATATCTTCTGGTCTAGCCAGATTTATAAGGTAGAATTGGGGTCATGACAGGGTGGGGAGGAAGCATTAAAGAACTACAGTAAAGTTGTATGTTTCATCGGTGCTATACTGACCCTCACTAACTTGTCTCTTCCTTGTGACCCTTCTGTAAAGGGGATGTCCATCTGTCTACAGGTGGGCTTTGGGTCTCCACTCCACCCTCTCCCTCATTCACATCAATATGATAAAGGCACACTTTCTTAAAAAACCTTTCTCACCTGAACAAATCTTAAATTTATTAAGAGTAGAAAATTACCAGCAAATCAGAAGTTTAGCTTTTAAAGATTAAAAACGTACTCTAATCACAGGTTGGTTTTTTTTTAATTACTAAAGTGTCCTTTATATATACTGTGTTGTTTTTAGGGGCCATCAGGTCAGTTAAACTCAAAGTGACCCCATGTACAAGAGAACAAAACACCCCCTGGACCGGCACCATCCTCATGTTTGATTCCACTGTTGTAGCTACTGTGTCAATCTCCTAGAGGGCCTTCCTCTTGTTTTCTGCCCCTCCGTTTACCAAGTATGATCCTTACTCAGAGACTAGTCTCTCCTGATAACATGTCCAAAGTACACGAGACAAAGGCTTGCCATCCTTGCCTCTAAAGAGCATTCTGGCGGCACTTCTTGCAAGACAGATCTGTTGTTCTTTTGGCAGCCCACGGTACTTTCAACATTCTTTACCAACATCATAGTTGAAGTGAATCAATTCTTTTCTTCCTTCCTTATTCGATGTCCAACTTTCATATGCATATGAGGTCGTTGAGATACCATGGCTTGGCTTAGGCACACCTCAATCCTCATGGTAACATCCTTGCTGTTCTCAACACTTTAAAAAGGTCTTGTACAGCAGATTTACCCAAACCAGTGGATCGCTCTCGACGGCTGCTTCCATGAGCACTGATTGTGGATCAAAGCAACAGGAAATCCTTGACCACTTCAATCTTTACTTTGTGTATCATGTTACCTATTGGTCCAGTTGTGAGGATTTCGGTCTTCTTTAAATTGAATTATAATCCATACTTAAGGTTGCAGTCTTTGATCTTCATCAGCAAGTACCTCAAGTCTTCCTCACTTTCAGGAAGCAAGGTGTGGCATCTGCATAACGCAGATTGTTAATAAGCCTTCCTCCAACCCTGATGCCCCATCCTTATAATCCAGCTTCTCTGATGATTTTCTCAACATACAAATTGAATAAATATGGTCAGAGAATAAACTCGGAAACACACCTTTGCTGATTTTAAGTCCTTGTTCTATTCACACAACTGCCTCTTGATCCATGCACAGGTTCTGCATAAGCACAATAAAGTGCTCTGGAATTCCCATTCTTCTCAATGTTATCCATAGTTTGTCGTGATCCACAAAGTTGAATGCCTTGGCAGAGTCAATAAAACACATTCCTGGTATTCTCTGTTTTGAGCCAAGGTCCACCAGACATCAGCATTGATTATCTCTTGTTCCTCTGTCCTCTCCTGAATCTGGCCTGAACCGCTGGCAGCTCCCTGACAACGCACTGCTACAACTGTTATCGGGTGATCTTCAGCAAACTTTTGCTCGCATGCAGCATCACTGATACTGTTCTATAACTTGAGCATGCTGCTGGCTCTTTCTTTGGAATGGGTACAGATATCGATCTCTTCCAGTCAGTCGGTCAAATTTCATGGCATAGGTGAGTGAGGGATTCCATTGCTTCGTCAGCTTGCTGAAACATTTAAATTGGTACTCCATCATAATCGGAGCCTTGGCTTTAGCCGAAGATTTCAGTGCAGCTTGGACTTCTTCCTTCAATACCATTGGTTCTTGGTTCAAATGCTACCTCTTGAAATGGTTGAAAATTAATTAGTTCATTTTGATACAATGACTGTGTTCTTTCCATCTTCTTTTGATGCTTACTGTATCATTCAATATTTTGCCCATCAAATCTTTTAATTTTGCAACTTGAGGCTTGAATTTCTTAGGTACACATACTTTCTTTAAATTGTGGTTTAGATGAAAAGTCAGTAAATTCATTTCCAACTTGACAGACTGCTGTGTGACATTGGTTACAATTCCCACAACATGTCAGCACTCTCTCTACAGCCACTTTGGGTTTCCTGTTTCCCATTTGTGTGCTTTTCCTGCCCCGTTTTGCTTTCCTAGCTTTCCTTTTGGACAAATGTTGCTTTCACTCTCCGAAAGTTGACTGTTCAGAGGAGCATCTTCCACCTGGGTGCTGTGTGTATAATGGTGAACAGTGATCTCCAGGAGTGGTTACAGGTCTAAGTTGGAAGAGTGTCTGAGGGCAATCAAGCCTCAGAGGTTCGACACGTCTCTATTAGGCTGGTCTTTTGAATGATTTTGAATTGTGTTCCACCTTTTCCTCCCACTCTATCTGGTATCTTCTAGCATAATCCTAATCAGTGGAGGTAGCTGGGCACCACCTAGTTCTTCTGGTCTCTAGGGGCTCATTAGCTCCCTGGACCCACTGATTCCTAGAGTCTTTGGTTTTTCTTCATTCTTTTTTACCCCAGATGGAAAGAGACCACTGGCAAGCCTTTAAGATCCTATTTCCTACTCACCAAAATAAGATGTAGAACACTGTCTTTATGCCAATTAACCTAGATGTCCCGAGTGAATGGTTCATAATCCCCAAGCTCAGCATCTCCACGTTGGGAGGTGTGGCTGAGAGGTGATCTTACGGCGTTTTCATCACTGTGAGCCCTGTGCACACACGGATATAGTTGCAGCATGTGCAAATGCAAATCTATCCGCTGCCAATCCCACAAATGCATATGGGTTGTACCTTAATTCTTAATTCATCTGTCCATCTCTACAAGTAGCCTACTGTTCAAATCACATGATTACAGCACTTTTTCTAAATTACAAAATGTAGCCTGGTATTAATTAGTCTCAAACACATTTAAACACTGTAAGATAATGGACAATGTTGTATGGATATGTTTTTAAACTCACGCAACAAGTTGTAAACTCCCATGAATAAAGCTATAGCAGTAGTATTTAAGATAATCCTTTCAATTCCCTTCTTTTCAAGCTCACTATGTGTTACTTCAATAAAGTTTGAAGATAATGGCTACTCACAGGAAATTACTCAGAAATACGTTTCCTTTAACTCACAAGTCGGAAAAGCACCAGCTCCTAAGTTTTTGTTCTCATATAAAACATAACAATTTCAAGAAGTCTCGGACCGTCTTCACTTAAGCTCTGTTCATTTCTCAATTTTGGTCACAAGATAGAGTTATCTATAACTTACCTTAAGAAGTTCAACAAGCCTGCATAATGCCTTCACTGAGGTTTTGGTCATTGGCTTTTGCATGGACATGTAGAGATTCATTGTGGTTTTAATAATTGTACTAATACTATACGCATACAAGAAGCCCTGTAAAACACACATACACACACATACAAAATCATTATAATCACAGGGAATTTCCATTTTTCTAAGAGTTCATTCTGTATATAAGAACATTACTTGCCCCTCCCCCTAGAAGAATTATTTCAGAGTATAGCACTGAAGCTGCAGCTCCAGGAGGGACATGTCTGATCAGAGCACACGGGAGCAAATAAAGGGGGAGGAAGAGTGGAGCACATCCTGGCCCACCAAGCCCTGAGGACGATATTTCCGCTCAGAGCAGCGAATCCACAGAGAAGACCATATGAGACATGGCATCCCTCACTGATCCATAGCCCTACAGGGGACAACACTGGAGA